GAGAGATCGTCAATAAGCAATTAAGTTCGCGAATATATCACGCGCGCGCGAATATCTACCCGAGTCGAAATTTTGGTACTATTTTGACACTTTCAAGGATAATTTAAACCTACTTAGCTGATCCACACACCTACATAGACCAGTAATAGCCTACTTTGATGACATTATATTTTTTACTCCTTCCTTGAATCTTTAATTCTGAAAATTTACTTTAGTTCCTACTTAAGAGGACCCGCTTTAATGCTAAATTGGCAAAAGTAGAAATTTCCAACACTATCAGTTTTAAAGTAGGAGTAAATTTTGTACTTGCAGTTCGACCTCTTTTACTATATCTTAGGTCCTACTATATGTATAATAGAATTGAAGGTTCAACATAGGGCCAAAATTTCGACTCGGGTAGCGGCTTAAAAAATGTAGACTTATATTTGGCATTTTTTTACCGATACCGGAAAGCTTTGCATTCTTACTTCGTTCATCCACGCGTTTCATTACCGAGCAATCATCGGGTGCTTCAAACCATGTACGTACTTTCAATTACGCTATTGTACGCAAAAATCGTATTACTACAATTACACCATTGTGCGTTCGCTCCCGACGAGTTTCACGCATGCAGGCCGCGCTTACACAAACTTCGAGAGGCAACAACGGGACTGTTTAAACATCTCCGACCAAAAGATAAAAAGATAGCCGTAGAACTTTTTCGCGGCAAGTTCAACGTAGTCTTAAATTCCTGGGGAATCACGATACGATCACGATATGACAAAAGGAACAAATCGACTCGATTGAACACGTATCGATTGGAGGGGCGAAAGCGTTTCGTCTCAAAGCGGCGTAAATCTTTTCGCTCGCTCGTGCGACTCCGTGAGACAATTTGACTGGTGTCGCCTTTTCTTATTTCATTTCATTTATTTAAGTTTGCCGAAACTTGAAATCGTTGTCCCCACGGCACCATGGCATCGCCAAATAAAAAAGTCTACGCACGTTTATACGGTATTTATAGATATTCTATGGTGAAAACCGAAATTAAAGTGATCGAGGTCTTCCGTTCGGCGTCCAAGAAAATAAAAGAAAAATGGGAATGCTGGAGTGATTCTGCATCTTTTGTACTTTTCGCCTCTAGAACTGTCAATTCATGTAATATATAATATAAATTATGTGGCTTTTGTGTACAGACCGACAGTGTTCGGACTAAGGTCCGGTTTTCAGCCACGTTGTCTAACTTTAAATTTAGCTTAATTTGTTCTTTGTCCCTTTTCAACTGTTACTTTAGAAAGAGACAAGTACACTGAAAAAAATTTCTGGTTGAATATGGACGAATCAGATAATTCCTTTAGGATTTACCAGAATTTCTGTAGGATTACAGGAATTCTGGTAAATCCTAAAGGAATTCTGGTAAATCCTAAAGGAATTATCTGATTCGTCCATATTCAACCAGAAATTTTTTTCAGTGTATGAATTAAACTAAGATTGAAGTTAGGCGACGTTTGGTGAAACCGGGCCTAAATCAGAGAACAGCGTGGTATCATTGAAATTAAGTTTAGAAGCCCAACAAAAGCTTCTAAACTTCATTTCAACGATACTATGCTGTTCCCTAACTTATTGCTAGTCCGAATAGCGGAACACTGTCTGTCTGCACACAAAAGCCACATAATGTATATATTACACAAATGTTTTCACGAATTGACAGTTTTAGGAGCAAAAGGTACAAAAAGTGCAGAATTATTCCAGCAACCCCTTAAGATTTCCGCGATTGCGTTGCAACTTCGCACGTGGCTAGTCCAAGTTCCCCTTCGGTGAAAAGACGCTTTTGAAAAGTGTCCGAAGGTTTCCGGGGAACATGACCCTCGTACGGCGCTCCTCGGCGGTAACGTCTATTTGTGCCTATTGACATGTGTCGGCGCCGCTTTTTTGTGACCGCTACGATGGTATTTACAAACGAATACTACGAATCCGCCCCGGGCGATTCATTCCAGGACGAGAGTAAAGGGAGACAATTGTGCGCGTGAAAGAATTTAGGTAGGATCCAAGTCTCGACAGTTCCTGCGATTCGACCGCACAAGTTAGTGGAGCAGAAGAAACATCCGCCCTAGCTGTGAAATATCAAAGGGGGGAAAAAAAAGATTAGCCGAAGTCACGTTAATGAGCAGCTGTTTAACACCGGAACAACTCGAGTCCGACGGATTTTACATTTCTTGTTTTAAATTGTAGAAATGATTAAGGTGCTTTCGTCGGGGAATTCGTGTTAACTTTTGCCGACACAAAAAGAATGATTACTTCTGTCGATCTATTTTTCCTCGATTATTTTAATTTTGTATATGCCATAGGCGTGCGCAGGCTTTTTTATTTGCTGGTGCCATAGGAATAGCGGTCTTTCGACAAAAAATGAATGAAATTTAATTTTAATAAATTTAAATTTTTAACGAAAAACTTTAAATAAAAGAAGTAAAATAAGAAGAGACGACGCCAATCAAATTGTCTCATTGCTGCTCACAAACAGCCCGTGACTTCGCTGGGTGTACGAAAATTTTCCGTTTGTGGAAAGAATGGAAAAATGTGGTATTTGGTGGTGCAACGGCATCCCCGGTGGGGCACGCTTGATACATATCGAAATAATGCTGGTCTAGTGCTAACAATGCTATTAACCTCTCCCTTCATATCGTGTGGCGCGATCGTGGCAACGCGAGCCCACGAGTCGCCTTATGTTAAGATCAGTGTTCACGATGCTAGAACTTGGTCCAAGTTCTGGGGCTCGATCATGAATCTTTCTTTATTTATTATTTATATTAACGAATATTGAATTCTTCACTGAAATTTTTCACTTTTTACGAGTTCACGCTAAAGGAAAAGATTCACGATCGAGCCTCTAGTTTCGAGAAATGTGTAGCTAGTTCTATAAAAGCTGCAAGTTGATTGGCTTCACATTTCTCGGAACTGGAACTTGGACCAAATTCCAGCATCGCGGACGCAGGCCTTTAGAAACGGTTGATAGTTGCAGGGGTAACGCATCGAAATAAAGGAAATTCTAACAAGTGACCGATACACAGTTGAAAAATTTGTGTTAAATTTAACAGATATCACATGTCCCAAACGGTTCACACTAATTTTTGTGTTAATTTAACGTACTATGGATATGTTAAGTAATCACACTAATAATCCGTTAATATTTTAACACAAAATAAATACAAATCTCAAAATAATTTGAAATAAATTTTGTGTAAAATTAACATATTTTTAATGACAAAATGAATTTAAAAAATGTAATTTTTACACTTTACAATATTTTATTCTGTAAATTTTAACAGATAAATTTCGTTACTAATAATATCGAACATATGTATTGTATCAGTTTAAAAATAAGTACACATTGTGTTGTTTCAACAGTTTTTTTCAGTTATTTTAATAATTTTACATTTGAGGTCAATTAACACAAGAGCAATATGTTAAATTAACACATAAACGTGTTAAACATTTAACACAAAAATTTTAACCGCCATTTTTTTAACAAGAAAGCACAAATTTTCCAACTGTGCAACAATAACACGATGTCATTAAAAATATGTTAATTTTACACAAAATTTATTTCAAATTATTTTGAGATTTGCATTTATTTTGTGTTAAAATATTAACAGAGTATTAGTGTCATCATTTAACATATTCGTATTATGTTAAATTAACACACAAATTTGTGTGAACCGTTTGGGACATGTGATATCTGTTAAGTTTAATACAAATTTTTCAACTGTGCGCTCATAAAAAAAATGTCCGGATCCAACGTTATTACACCTCAATGTATCATAAAATATGATCGACATAGCGTCAATTTATCATATTATAGAGAAAGAAATATTTTAATTTTAAATGAAAAATTCTAAAATCTAGAATAAAATGGTAGCCTTTTGTCGAATATCGTGGTGCCAACTTGTAAACGCATTACATTTATATGTTAAGTTACTCTTATCTCAATGTAGTAAGTCAATCTTATTTTATTCGATACAGGAGAATATAAAGAATTGCTGATTTTATTTTGATATTGTCTTATTTTTATACTAAATGAGGTTGTGAGATAAATGCGTCAAGAATATTGTTTCTCGGTAACAGAAATCCTTTCCGAGGGTGCGTTCTTCTGTTGTTTGAATTTTTGCGAAAATTGTTATCGGAAGGTTACGCGTGGAAAAGATGTATACGCTAGATCGTGGATGCCTCAACTTATGAATTTGCATACGTCGAAGCATATTTAGGGCATATTTGAATATTCACGTATCATAGCTGTGATATCTGTTAAATTTAACACAAATTTTTCAACTGCGTGTAATTATTAAACGAGAAGATTGGAACAAGTTCACGGTGATACACAAGTTTATACGTAAAATTGACAAAATAGTGTAATAAATAAGAGATATCACAGAACACTAGAACACTTCGATAACTCCGAATAGCGGAATTCGGTTACTTGCACTAGTGAGCACTGAGTGCACACTAAGGCTTGTTTGTAGTCAGCTCTTATATTTAACACTGCCTTAAATACATGTTCAAAGAGTATTTAGTCAAAAAATGATGCGCGTAAACGTTGTACAGACCATATTTCTGGATAAGAAATGTTGCAAGGGGCATTTAAGACGATCTTTACACAAAAGAATTGACTGGAAACAGGGTGCACTCAGTGCGCACTAGTGCAACCAACCGAATTCGCTGCAAGTCTACGGCGCTCGTGATTGAATAACAAAGAAAAGTCAACTCGGATTTGGCTGGCGGTGGAGATGCTCGCGAAATTGCGGCGGATTTAAAACGCCGCGTCTACCCGAGTGACGTATATCAATGTCCGAACGCCGGCGGTCCTTGCAACGTTACCCTCGTCAATGATAAACACACAGAGAATTTCGTGTAACAATCGCTGCGCGCCGGGAACCGGGCTGGGCTCGGTTGAACCGCGAGGCGAAAACGTGAGTAACAAAAAGAAAAGGAAACGAAAGAAAGAAAAAAGGAAAAAGAGGAAGACTTACTTATACGCAGAGAAGATCCAGCCAGCGATCTCGGACTTTCATCGGCAACGCTGCTGTCCCCCCGACGGCGAGCTCGTACTCGGCGCCGGGCTCTCCTCTCGCCCTCGACACGCGGAACTCGATCCGGCGGCCGCGCCGGAAATTCAGACGCGCCGATCGGCCAAGAGAAGGAACCGGGATGAGGCGCGCGGATGCACGTGGCGGCCACGAATCGACTCGGCAGCGGACGATACAACCTCACCGCGCGACGGTCGCAACCAGACTGAAGTTCGCCGCTGGTCCGCCCGTCCGCCGCCGCCGCTGCTCCGTTCAGCCTGGAAACAGCTGCTCCTCCTCTCCTACTCCTCACCTTCGCGCCGGAAAAGTGCGCGCCGATCTCGGCCGCCCCGCCGGGGTCCTTACGGCGTCCGTCGCGCAAAGTGCATCTTCCCGCGAGAACTGACGCCTCCCCTTCTTCACCCGCGAAAGCGGCCGTCCCGGCGGGTGGCCCGGGAACGTCTCTCTTGATTTATCGGGAGGGAAATCGGCCGCGCGAACCGACTCGGGGATTTCGCGATAAACGGAAACTTTTCCTCACCCGATCGCTTTTCAGGGTGTCTGCCGCGCGGACCCGGAGACGCGGATAGATCGCCCCGGGTATCCGGGATACCCGGGATCGAGAACGACTTACGTGTACGTCGATCCTGTTCTCTCCGCGCGTCGTTCGAGACTGGTATTGCATTTGTCGCGCGACGCATGTTTCAAGCGCGCTGATTGGCCGCGGAGCAGAAAGTTTCTAGAGACTCGCGAACTTTTCTATCCCGCAGCCAATCAAGACGCAGGATAGAAATAATCCTCGGGTATCTAGAAACTTTTTGTCCTGCAGCCAATCAACGTGCTTAAAACAATTATCGTACAAATGTAACTCTGAGAACGATATCCCAGTGAGAAATGATTTGTCGATCGACGTCGAAATGATGTCGAATCTACGTCAATTCGACGGTGTCGATGTCGATTCGACGTCGTTTCGACGAATCATTTCTCACTGGGTATTCACAGTCTGATCTGCCAAGATCGTCTTGAGACTATCTTTGGATTCACCTCGGCCAATAAAATGTTATATACAGCATATTAAACTTAGGACGGGTGGTAAATATAACACCTGACTATGAATACCGAGAGTGATTGACGCGTGATCGTCGCCTGAAGATAGTCGCGGCGAGATTCGCTCGCGTGACTCTCGAAACTCTCGGCACTCTCGATATTCAATGGCTGCCGTTCAGCGGAAAAGGCTACATTGCAACAGTTATAAAATTCGTAGATTCGATTGGAGTACGCTCTTAGCTTCTGCCACAATTAAAGGCATACGCCAATCAGATTCAAGATTTTACGACAGCTGGAAAGCAACCTTTTCCGCCGAACGCCGGCCAATGAGAGAACGCGGTATCTGAAAACTTCTGGGAAACCAGTTTCCCTTTTTATAGCGAATTCGATTGCCTGCACTAGTGCGCACTGACGTTGAGTGCGCGCTAACGCTTGTTTACAGTCGATTCTGATATGTAAAGATTGTCTTGAATACCTCTTGAAAGACTTTCCAGCCTTTTTAATTAAATCCGTGCGTTATGTTTTTCATATTTGAACATGCACCCTCAGAGACTTCTGTTACCGAGACAAAAATATTCTCGACGTATTACATTTCTCACAACCTCATTTAGTATAAAATTAAGACAATATCAGAAGAAGATCGATAATTCTTATTCTTCTCTATCGAATTAAAAAAGATTAACTTACTATAATGAGACAAGAGTAACTTTATACATTCTTGCGTTTAGAATAAATTTTCCCTCCATCAACAACAAGTTGGTACCGCGATATTCGACAAAAGACTATCATTTTATTCTAGATTTTAGAATTTTTCATTTAAGATTAAAATATCCCTTTCTCTATAATAAATACGATTGGCGCTGCATCGGTCCTGTTTTGTCATACATTGAAGTGTAATAGCATTGGATCCAGTAATTTTTCTGTGGGTGTGTATTTAAGACGACCTTCAATATAAAAATTAATTGTGAGCAAGCCTTAGTATGCACTCAGTGCGCACTAGTGGAAGCAACTGAATTTGCTATTAGACATCGAATGCGTCGGAGTTGCTCGTTAAAAAAACGAGCGTCTCGACTGTTTTCACGCCAATCGTGCGTAATATCTACATAAATCAGGCAAGATGTAGATAATTTCAAAGAGATTGTACGCAGGTGGCATGTGTACGTAAATGTGACGTCAAGTGTTGGATTGATTTGAACTTTGAAATAAAAATTACGCAAAAAGAATACGAGAATCATCGTGGAGATGAAACAAGATGGAGAATCGCGACGTTCGCTGTCCACCGACAACTTGCGCGTTCGATAATTCAAACGATTCAGTTCTTCAATTGGATTCCTTCGTTCTATTCTTAGAGCTCGCTCTCGTCGTAACAGCGTTAGAACTGATACGATTCGCGGCTTTATTATTCCGCACCGATCCGGGAATCGCGCGGTGTCGAACGGCGTCGCTCGCTTCGAAGAGAATCGGCGGCGACGCGGATGCGACCGGATATTCTTATAGATCGCGAGTACGCGATCGGCGACGAGGGGAGCGAATCGCGTTCACCGAGGGAATGCGAATGCAAGGATCCCGCGAGGATCCCCAATGCGAATGTTTCCGGGAACGCGCTAATAATCGTAAAGCGCGACGGCGCGCGGAATATCCCCCGTAAATTTCCGCCTTACGCAAAATAATAATGGCGAGCGTGTCAAAGTCACGAGCGCGGCCGTAAAGCTTTTAGCGGGAATTAGTATCGAAAACGGCGCGCATATACAGCGGCACGAGGCGGTAAAATATCCCCTTCCCGTGTATATTCCGACGCGCCGGGTGTTTCGATCGCGCGGCGAAGGGCACGCGGGCGAGGGCGAGGAGAGCTTTTATTGCCCCCGGCTTTTATTAACTGACGGCGCTACGTGTCTTGGCTATTACTTACGCCCGTCGCGCCGTAACCCACCTGCTCCGTGACGCGCCGCGTTTCGAGGCCCCCGAGATATCGCTGGGTCACGGACGCGCTTTAACCCTTTCCCCCCCCCCCCCCTTAACCCTTCGCCTTGTTAAACGGGACCTTTATCGCGCGCGTTCACGGAACTGGCCCGAGAGGCTCCCCGCGCGTAAACCGTGGCGTGACGCGACCGCCGGTGAGTCGGTCAGAAATTCGCGTTCGCCCTCGCGGCTTGACCCCGGGGTCTTCCGGTGCCCCCGACATTTCGGGCTCGGCGATAAGCCGGAAATTTCAGGGGAAACGCCCCCGCGCGCGATGCTCGAATATCGGCCTTCGTGACACGCCGGAGGCACGGCTCGAGGAATGCCGGCGGGGTCGCCGTGGCTTCGTGAGACCGCGATAATACCGCGATGGCATTCCGACGTGCGCGCGACATCGTAAAAAGCGACCCTCACGCGTGAATTTGCGCGCGTACCGCGGCATAGTTGGGCCGCGTGCCTCGCATCTGAATATTCCCAACTACTAGTTATTTCGTAGTAATTTACTTATTAATTCCCTAATAATATTGCAGTAACATAATACACGGAGAGAATTTTCTCTTCAAATTTATCCTGAAAAGCGTGCAGTCGTTGGACAGTGCGGCATTTCGAAGAATATTATGAGTTTTTGTGAAATTTTACCGTACATTTTACTAGTAATTATACTAAGTACACATTTTACTGGTAAACTGCATGGTAAAATTTCAAAATACTCTCATAAAGTTCTTCAGAATGCCATGTTGTCTCGCGATACATGATTTTCAGAGTAAGCTTTAAGAGAAATTTCTCTCCGCGTAGTAAAATATAATAACAGTAACAGCATATGCGACATATAACAGTACGTTTTATGACACATTGCAACGAGTTATTATACAATAATTTACCAACGGCTATACATGAATATTCAAATATGCCCTAAATATACTTCGACATATGCAAATTCATAAGTTGAGGCATCCACGATCTAGCGTATACATCTTTTCACCGCGTAACCTTCCGATAACAATTTTCGCAAAAATTCAAACGACAGAAGAACGCACCCTCGGAAAGGATTTCTGTTACCGAGACAAGCAATATTCTTGACGCATTTATATTTCTCACAACCTCATTTAGTATAAAAATAAGGCAATATCAAAATAAAATTAGTAATTCTTATTCTCCTCTATCGAATTAAACAAGATTGACTTACTACATTGAGACAAGAGTAACTTATATAAATGTAATGCGTTTAGAATAAATTTTTCCTCCATCTTACACGAAGTTGGCATCACGATATTCGACAAAAGACTATCATTTTATTCTAGATTTTAGAATTTTTCATTTAAAATTAAAATATTTCTTTCTCTATAATAAATATGATAAATTGGCGCTATGTCGATCCTATTTTATGATACATTAAGGTGTAATAACGTTGGATCCAGTTGAAAAATTTGTATTAAATTTCAAAGAATTTAAAGGACTCAGAGCCGTGACAGGATGGTAGTGTCTAAATATTCTATTCTAAATTTATTGCGAAAAAATATCACCTCGGCCAGGGTTTGAACCTGGACCTCCCTCTCGCTAGGCGGGCGTCTCAACCAATTCGACCAATAAATTTAGAATAGAATATTTAGACACTACCATCCTGTCACGGCTCTGAGTCCTTTAAATTCTTTGAAATTTGTGTTTAACACATACGAGCCTTACTAATTTATTTGTATTAAACTTAACAGATATCACATGTCCCAAACGGTTCACACAAATTTTTGCGTTAATTTAATATAATATGGATATATGTTCCATGATCACATTAAAACCCTGTTAATATTTTAACACAAAATAAATGCAAATCTCAAAATAATTTAAAATAAATTTTGTGTAAAATTAACATATTTTAATGACAAGATGAATTTAAAAAATGTAATTTTTACATTTTACAGATGTAATGAGTCAAATGATGGCTCGAAATCACTCTCACTTATGTTATATAGAATAAAATTAACACTTTTTCTGTAAATTTTAACAGATAAATTTTATTACTAATCATATACTTAGAACATATGTATTGTGAAAGATTAAAAATAAGTATACCTTGTGTTGTTTTAACATTTCTTTTCAAGCATTTTAATAATTTTACATTTGAGGTCAATTAACACAAGAGCAATATGTTAAATTAACACATGAATGTGTTAAACATTTAACACAAAAATTTTAACTGGCATGTTCTTTAACAAGAAAAGACAAATTTTCCAACTGTGTGCGGCCCCGATAATTTTCTCACTTAAAAGTGCAGACTCCTGAAAAAACACCAACGTCGCATCCCCCCCAGTAGCACAGTGCATTGACCAAACATTGTTTAAACATTGGCCCAATATGTGGTTGAATTGGGCCAATGTTTAGCCAATGCACTGTGCTACTAGGGCCAGCGAAATCGATCGTTTCCCATTTATTAATAAATACGCCGATTAACGTACAATCGCGGCGCGAATCTCGCTCGTCAATGCCCGTCGAATATCCGGCAAGTCGTTGATCCGTCTTATGTAACGCGTTGCAGATAAATTAACCTTTACAGGTGTATACCAGGGGCGTTTTTATCGGCGCGGCATTTATTTTATCGAGCTGAAATCAATGAAATGTCAAGAGCGCGCGCGCCAGCGTTCATCCGTCCGTCGTTGTTTCTCCCCCGGTCGCGTCCGTGAGACGTAAATTGCAGTTTCATAGTTCATACGCGGATACGCAACTCGTTGTCTGTATACCTGCAAC